TTTCCTTAATTTATTTTCCTCTTCATATGAACAAGAAATTAACCAATTACACTTTTAGTCTAATAGAATTTACTTTTTTTGCCTTACTTTAACTCAAATGCAGCTCTTGTAGCAATATGGAAACAAGTGACCAGGAGGAAAGCATATCACATTCTAGCTTGCAAATTTCATTGAAATTGACTTTGAAGCAACATTAAGAGAGCCTATCTACACACTAAATAAGAATTACAAATCCCTCTGTCCCTTGATAGTTCAGTGGCATGAAAGTTTTAGCATCAACCATTTTATTCCCTAAATCAGTTGTAAGAAAGAATAGTTCTCCATCACAGTCTACTTCATAAGTACAAAATAATTATTATTGATTTTTTTTTTTTTTTTTTCTTCTTCTTAATTCTGTTTGTTATTCTTAGGATATGGAATGTAGACTCCATATATTACCATATTTTGATTGATAAGTATGATAGTATGCGATAAACTGAAATGGGGAAAATATTTGTATGTAATTCAATTCATTTTTAAGAATGTTCCTTTCAAAAAGTATTAGATGCTTTGTGCATTAGAAAGCTGTTTTTTTTTTATTTTCTCTGTTTTAATATAACTTTATTTTCTTTGTCTTAATAGATATATATTTTTTTGATGCCAGCCAGCATTTTAAAAGAATCTTCCAGCATTAACTATGGATGGTTTTATCCATGCCAAGGATTTTTTTTTTGTTTTTTGTTTTCTTTATTGTGGAGATGCCGTTCTGCTGTTACAGTATGCAGAACACGTAATATCTTCCCTCATCTGTAGTCTGTGAAATGCTGAATTTTTTTTTTCCTTTTTTTTTTTTACTTGTCAGCTTTGACAACTTCTTAGAGTTGGTTTTAGCCTCTGAAAGCACAGAAGATATAATGAGGATAAGGTGAGGGCACACTTCATTTTATAGCATTGCCTTCTTGCTGTCTAAATGCTTATCTCTGTGTAAAGGGCCAGTATGAGGATTAGATAGCAGTACAGCTTTCTCCTTTCTCTCTCTCATGATCATTCGAGCTGTAATTCTTTTGCCTCCAAAGTTCAGATATTTCAAGGAAGATCGGTGTTATCCTTTGAATTTGTAAGAGATATTATTATGTTTACAATCACGTGCCTTGTCATGGTCTGAACCTGCGATTCCTTGCATACACTCGCATGTCATTAGTTTTGTAATTCAAATGACAGTCCGTTAATTTTTTGTTCTCTGATTGCTTTCCTTACAAATACAGCAATATTTTATCTCGGTTTGAATGCATTGTACAATTAAATGTTTCTTCTATCCTGCATGATGTTAGGGATTTTTTCTTTAAAATTATATAGGCCTTCAGTCAGCCAGGATCATTAGAAAATGTCAAATCTTAAAGTAAAACAGAGCCAATGTGTATGCACTCTTAAGAATCACTCAGTTTTTTATATGAAGAATGGCATGGTTCAGACCAAAGTGTTTTTTTCCTGACAGTAGACAATGGATTACAGAGAAATCAGTAATATTAATTTAAATATTCTCTTGGTCTTACATGTCTCATATCAACAAATGGATCTGAGACATTTCTTTTTAAAAGGAAACTGAAATCACATGGACAGTAAATGTAAAAGGATGATTGCATCTTATTTTGTGAAATAGTTGACTTTGGGAAGGCAACAAAGAGAGAAGAAAATATCTTCACTTCCAAACTCATTTTTTATTCTTTCATTCTTTCTTTTTTCAACCCATAAGATGTACTATGTAATGAATAAATTGCTGCTTCCATAAGAATATGTATTTTATAATATATAACATATATCTTTAATATATAATGGAGTATTCTTGAATTTAAGTCATTCCAGAAATAAATGCTTTATGTAGCTGGTATAGTACAACTGCCTCATCATCTCATGTATATATACTGTAGGAGGTTAAAATGCATTAAGAACAGAGGGAAATTAATTGCCATATTTTAGTACCAATTAGTCCGACACCTTAGAAATAGATCATTCTTGTTTTTGCTACAATATAGTATTGTTCTGATAACATACTGTCCCTTGTCTTATCCTTTAAGCATCATTGTATAATGAAAGCTTTGTTTGTCATTGGAAATTAACACTGTGTGTGTGTGCGTGTGTGTGTGTGTGTGTGTGTGTGTGTGTGTGTGTGTGTGTGTGTGTGTGTGTGTGTGTGTGTGTGTGTGTGTGTGTGTGTGTGTGTGTGTGTGTGTGTGTGTGTGTGTGTGTGTGTGTGTGTATGTATATATGTGTGTATGTGTGTGTGTGTGTGTGTGTGTGTGTGTGTGTGTGTGTGTGTGTACGTATATGTGTGTGTGTGTGTGTGTGTGTGGGTGTGTGTGTGTGTGTGTGTGTGGGTGTGTGTGTGTATGTATGTATGTATATAATGATTTCTATTCTTTGGATTAATGAAGATGTGAAAGAGAAATGAGTGCATGGGTATATTTGGACTGATAGATGCTACTCATTTATGTTTGTGTCTATGTGGGCATGTATTTGTTGGTATTAGTAACTCCCATCAGAAGCAAGCTGGGCATATTTCATCTGTTGCTATGATACCATGGGTCCCAGTAACAGGACATGGAACAACACTTTTCAGCCCCATTACATCCATAAGAGAGCATTTGGTTTTTTGTTACACTTAGCTACAATTACAGTTTATTTGTGGGTAGATGTGCCTTTATTAGATTCATTGCTTCATGACCAAGGAACTTGTATTATCTAAAGAGAGAAATAAAAATAGTTAAGATGGGCATGTAGGTCTCTGTTTTATATTGATGAAACTCACTTGACTGAAAGTAGAGCACAGTTTATTATCTATTGCAGTCAGTAACAGAAAAGGGTAGAAATGTTTGGAGATATGTGATAATTCAAATGACTTATTGTAATGTAGCTCATTACTGTTATAAATATCTAAACTCTCAGGACCTAAATGCGTGAACAGTGTATTGTCATGGCTAAGACAGACTACCTTCTAACATATTTGCTATCTGCTTCCAGTATTTGTTCAATTACAATTCCTTTCTAACTGTATAGGCTATAATACTAACAACATTGAGCTTCTTTTGGTACTGATTTTAATGCTTTTGGTGATGGCTCATCCTCCCACTCCCCAAGGTAAAATCATTTTGCATGTTGATTGTTCCTTCCAGGTTACACACTGTAAAATGGTTTCTGCATTTTCACCATTTAAGAACTGTACGTTTTTATGAACCTCACATAAAATAAAAGTAAATACTGTATGAATTATCAGTGCTTTGCAAATGTTTTTGAAAAAAAGTGTATTTACAGTATGTTTGGTATCTAATGGGTAAAGGATGTACTAATGAACAGAACAAATATTCATGTGTGACTTGAATACAAATTATTTGGACTGTGTGACATCATTTATTCTATACAGGCGCAATATAATCAACGAAATAATGCAAGCTACTGCTATCAATAACTTGAAGAAAGCCAAAGGAGTAGACCTGAGTCGAGAAAGCACTCCACAGGGTTCAGGGAAGGGTGACTTACTTCAGGTAATGGAAATCTTTTTACTTTTTCTCAATATCGTGTTAATATTTTTGTAGTATATTTTAAGATAATGTGACATATATTGCCAATTCATTGATGTTACAAAGTACCCCTAAGTTAGCATTGTATATGTTTTTCAAGTATCAAGTCTTGCTGGCTGATCTTTTTCCAGGCCAGAAATCTTAAGCGTTACATCAACCAGCTCACATATGCTAAAGCACAATGCGAACGAAGGATCGCTATTCTCAACAGCGGAAAGGCAGCAGCAGACATCGGGCCTGTTGCAGATGGCACTGGTAATCCAGATGTTTCTAGCTCAGTACCTGACACTTTCACACAGTCACTTCAGAACCTCCCAGGCAGGAAGGTCAGTTTTTTCAAGCCTGTGAAGGCATGTTGTTTTATCTGTCTTTTTTTTTAAGACTATTGGTTTGGATTGAGATTTGGATAACTAGCTTATCCTGTTATTCTTATGTACTACATATAGTATTAATTTCTATGTATCCAAGCCATCACAAATTGTGATTAATCAATTGTAATATAGATAGATAGATAGATAGATAGATATAGATATATAATTCTTCTTTTTCTTCTTCTTCTTCTTCTTCTTCCTCAAACTTCAAACTTCAAAACTAAATTTTGATTACTTTTGCTCAACAGATTCTCATGTTCCAAGCACTCCTGGAATCTGCCTTTGCACGCCGCTACTTCTCCATCTACTTGGACGAGATTGGCCAGGGAGCGCTCATCAGTTTCTGGTCAGCTGTGCAGGAGGTTCGTCAGTCAGACAAGAAGCTGCATCATCAGCTGGGCACTGAGATTTATTACACTTACCTCAGTCCAAATCCACCCCCTGTGAAAGTTGATAAGGTAAAGAAAGTAAATACATTTATACTGTTTTGTAAATGTTGATTTTTATTTTTCTTATATAATCATAGTGGAAGATTTGCTGTTGTATTGAATAGTGTGTGGATTCAAGAGATTCATTACAGTATAATCAGTGTTTGAGAAAGACTCCTGAAAGTATACATTTCTTTTCACTATGGTAGAAGTTTAGCAACACTTGAAGTATCTGGGGTAATTTTTTTATATGTTGGGACATACAACCATAAAACAGAAAAAATATTTCTAGCCCACACTTCGAGGAGTTGAGGCATTCCTGCTAGGAAACAGAGGTCCTGAAGTATTCTATGAAATAGGAGAAGAAGTGGAACGTACTCTAGAGGAACGTCACTACACTGGTTTCCTTGTGTCATCTACCTACCATGCCATGCTCCATCAGGCTGCCGTGCAGGGCGTAGACTTTATGACTGAGTGTGCTGGTCTGTATTTGGGTGTTTTTGTCATCACTTTGAGAATTATTGATATGACTGACATGACATGAAATTGTTAGCATAAAAGGGATTCTGAAACAGAAATTTGTATTAAATTATTTTTTAACTACCTCATATTTGTTACATTTTACAGAGGAAGGGGGAACAGGTAGCACAGAGGGCAGCAGCACAGAATCAATTGAGCAAGTACAGCTTCAGCTCTCTGATCATTCCACTTATGCACGGAACAAATTAGCTCATTTGCAGGAGCGGCTCAATAATAAACTGCTGGTATGGAAGATATTTGGCTGTGTATGTTAATCATGAAATATTATAAAATATTATGTCATAGGCACAAATGAGTATTGGATACAAATCTGTCAGGAGATACAGTGGACTTTAAGTTAAGATTTAATTACAGTTACGACTGTACCAAAACTATAAGGGCATAAAAAATTTCTTATTCTTTAAAAGAGGAAAAAAATATTACTAGAGAATTATTGTATTGTCAATTCCATACATAGTATTAGTCTAGTTCTGTTAGAAATTTAAGTCCCCAATTGAGTAACTGAACTTTCTCATTTTGTTGGCAAGGCTCTGCAAGCAATGAGACAAAGTGCCAAAGCAGATGCCAAAGTCATAACTCACCTGGAAGGGGAGATCAACCAGCTGCGAAGCGACCATAAGGTGCTGGAGACACATGTGGAGAGAACTGTCCTCTGGAGTGACAACATTGGGCGATGGAGGGTTCATGTCCAGAGTGTGCAGGTAATGGGAACAACTTTGCCTTATGGGGTCTCAGAGGAGTTCTCTCTCTCTTTTGTGGGTCCTTCCATGGTATGAGTATTAAAACCTTGAGTTGTGTCCCAAGGTTTTTCTTGTTTTTGTGTGTTTTTTATTGCATTTATCAATTGATATGTCATATGCTTTTGTGTGTGTGTGTGTGTGTGTGTGCATGCACACACATTCTTGCACACACATTGCCCATGCCAAATAATGATAATTATAATTATCATTAAGTTATTGAATAATGTAAGATACATTCTTCCTGTTACATAGATTCATCAGCAGGTGTTTTTATTTAAACACAATCTTTCTCTTGCTTTTTTATTTTTAATATTATACATACTTCTTTGTAATCTTTAGTATCAGTGATATATATTAATGCATTTTTAGTCATCTACCGATTTGAACCTTCAAACCTGTATTTTCATCTCTTTTTTAAGTTGGTTGAAGAAAAGGACATCCCACACTTGGTCCTCTTGGTACACCTAGGTTCAGAGGACTCGAAAACTTCTTCGTGCCAAGACCTCTCCTCAACAGCCATTACCTCATCATCTTCCTCGGCCTCTTCTTCTTCCTCTTTATCATCGGGTGTGGACAATCTGGAGTCGTCACTGGTGGGCTCAGGACCTGGCAATGGCTGGGTCGTCGTGAGGAAGCTTCCCCTACTTCTGGATCTCCACAGGAAGTTATGGTAAAAAGGGAATAAAGCATAGGGTATATGAATTATTTCCTAAAGAATTTCCATGTGCCTTCTGCATATAAATAGGTTGACAAATATAGTTGTGCATTCATACTATTTTGTTTCCTCACAAAACTTATCTAAACTCTTTTACTCTCCAGTCAAATTGGTCCATGGATGAAAGCAGTAGAACTCCCTACAGTACCAACAAAAATCCTTTTCGGAAAGGCTGCTGACAAAACCCAGCTAGAAAAAGTACGAAGTGTGGCACAGAATTATTTTGATGCTGTGCTTAGTGATGAGAAGCTCTCTGGTTCAGAGCTCATTTATGCCTTCCTCTCACCTTCCCCTGAGCACTTGAAGCAAGCAGGAACACAGCGCAAAAAGTCAAAATTTTCATTTTCAACATTCTTCAAAGGGTATATATACATTGTCATTAGAATGTCAGCATATCTGATAATAGCCAGAATAGTATAGCAGAAACATCTGTTTTACATTATATATATTTCTTCAGTGGAGATGGTAAGAGTGACAGTGATGAGGAGGACCTAAGTCTAATGATGGACGGCAGTGAGGCTGCAGTTGATGGAGGTGTGGGTGGAGATGCAGGCAAAGACTCTGTTGCTGAGCCACTCTTTTCCTTCTTGGAGGAACTGTGTGAACTTCGAGGTGTAAGCAAGTGGCTCCGCAAGACTCTCATTTCTTTTGTTCAAATCACATATGGTAAAACCATTACAAAGTAAGTGAGATTCAAATATTTCCCTAGTTTGTTTTTTTTATTTGACAGTCAGTCACCAGCAAAGAGGTTGATAGTTTATTTACTGGTTTTCAGTGTAACACCTGTTTCTTGACGTAATATAAACTTAAAGAAAAAAATTGTGTTGACAATTATTTATTCTACATTAAGAACACATTTCTTTTCTTTTCATGATTGGCACATTGGTGCCTTAGTACAAGTGGAGCCATCTGTGTGTAAAAGTAATTAATAAAGTCAACTCAGTGGGTATGGCATGTACATACATACCATACCTGACACTTTTGGGTAAAGGGACCTAGAACATTTTTTTGTTATTATGGTAATAGCTAATTTTGTCAAAAATAAATTTTAAAAAATAAATCAAGATTATAAAAAATAAAGCAAAAAGGTTTTCAGTCTAAAAATGGGTTGGAGTTCTTAAATCTATTAAAATTTATTTCAGTACTTAAATTTACTAGTAATATAATGCTTTATTTTCAGACATGTTCGTGAAACAGTCTCCAGTATGCTGAGTGAATCAATGGTGCTGTATTACATACACACAGTCAAAGATAATCTCTGGCCTTCTGAGGATGAGATTCCAGCTACAGAACTGCCTCGCACTGAAGATGATAAACTGCGAACCAGGTAAACCTTAGAAATATATGGTGTTTTGAAGTACACACCAGTACTTGTAGATGGGTATAATTTCTGTAATAATTTCTTTCTTCTCTCTCTCTCTCTCTCTCTTTTTTCTTTTCTTTCTTTCATCCTTTCTTTCTTTCTTTTTAGTAACTTTTGGTAAGTAATAATCTTTTCTCTTTATTTTCATTCTACGTTGAGTCTTGTCTGTGAATAAATCTGTGTGGTAATACTATATTTGGTTTCCAGATACGAGGCTCGGGAGCAGTTTGTCAATAACTTACCTGTGCTCCTGTGCACACTGGTGGGTCAACAGAATGCTCGCAGAGGTGCCACAAAACTTTTTACAACACTTCAGCATCATGCACTTAACAAAAATCTTTTTTATGTGAGTTAGATTTCTCTTTATCAGTATTTCATTATAGTTGCTAGTAGCATTATTATTTATTTATTTATTTATTTATTTATATATACATACATATATACATATGTATATGTACATACATATACCTATATAAACATACATATATATACATACATATATGTATATACTTACATATATTTATATACATACATATATGTATATAAATACATATATACATATACATACATATACACATATACATACTTATACACATATACATATATATATATACATATAAATACATACATACATATAAATACATACATACATATAAATACATACATACATATAAATACATACATACATATACATACATATATATACATACATACATACATACATACAGTAAGTCCCCAACTTAAGAACATAATGGGGACCGAGAGGCTGTTTGTAAGTTGATTTGTTTGTATGTCGAAAGTCGGGTCTCCATTACCTTTTTTCCCATTGTTTTAAAGTTTTGTTTACATTAAGAATACCTGTAAATAAATCCCAATAAGTACGATATACCTTATACAGTACCAGACTCTTGTACTATATTCACGCCTGGGAAATTTGAAGTTTGCTAGCATCTTTCAAACAATTTTTTGGACTTTGATACTTAAAAAAATTTGTTTGTATGTATGGAATGTTCATAAGTAGAATAGTCTTAAGTAGGGGACTATCTGTACATACATATATACATACATACATATATATACATATATATACATACATATACATACATACATACATACATACATATGTACATATATACATACATACATATATATGTGTGTGTGTGTGTGTGTGTGTGTGTGTGTGTGTGTGTGTGTGTGTGTGTGTGTGTGTGTGTGTGTGTGTGTGTGTGTGTGTGTGTGTGTGTGTGCATGTATGTATATGTTAGTTTCCAACTCTTTTGCTTAAAAAAATATATATACAAATGCCTTTGTCTTACCCTTTTGTTACTTTCAGAATGTTCTGGAGGTGCTGCTCAAAGAATTGTTTCCTGAACTACAAGAGCATATAGAAAAGAAAACATGAAGAGTAGTATACAATGAACTGGATGACACTTTAAAAGTCATCAGTCATAGTAATGGAGATACGGGAAACAAATGCAGAAACCCAACACAAAGTATACAGTGATGAGAGAGATTGGTCACTTCAGAAGTCAAAATACTTACAAAGGAGAATGCTTAACCAAAGATTTTTGTTTTTCTTTCTTTCTTTCTGTTTGTGATAGTTAACATTCCTTTTTGAAAGGCCAAAGATCTGTGCGTGTCCATGTTAATGTCTCAAATCCCTAAATAATGTTAGGGGAATTAGCTGTATCCAGAAAGTGAGACACATTCTGCTTTCTGTAGCTGTTTGTCATTACTCTAGCATATGTTATATACTCACTGGATGTCTAGTCAGTAATTTCATAGCAGCGTCTGAATGAGTATGGTATTTTTATAACAAACGTTTTAAACGGTATTAAACGCATGGTGGTGTTTTACTAAATGTTTAGATGAGAGTAATGTCTTATGAATGTTAAATTTTGCTTTATTGAATTATTCTCAAAATAGTATTAAAATTAAATATGCAAAGACAATAATGAATACAGAAATTGAAGTCAGAATTGTGTATGTGCTCACTGTTTTTCTTGAATTTAATCATATTAAACTGTTTATGGAGGAACTGGGACCATATTTTTCCATCATTGCAGGAGGCCAACAGAAAAACATGTTGAGGAGGTTTGTCCAACTTTCATCAGATTTTTATTAATTTCGAAGCAAATTCTTCATCAAAAATATCCATTTTGACACATTTGTTTCTTGTTGTAGCAGCATCTCATAGTTGGTGTGCATGCTCATGATGTTGATACAACTAATGTGATATCAAATGGTATTCCTAAGTTATTGATAAAGAATACATTACACACTTTTGGGAAAAAAATCTAACTGACCCCATTTAATGTGATACCCTATATTCTCAATATTTTTTTCAGTTGGCCTTAGACCATCAGCAACAATAAAGTTATTATTGGTTGTATTTTGGGATGGTATGTACAATATCCAAAGGTTTATACATACCTAACTTCTAAACTTAAATATATTGATGGCTGGAACTTTACCGTACGGTTGCCATTTGTTTATTTTAGGCTCAAGGACAAACATGATGAGAAAGCTGCCATTTTTGATAAGGAGCTTATTTTTTTGGAAATGTTAGGATTATATTACAGAAATATAATTTTAATTTATTAGGTAAATTACTGTGAATAATGTCATTATATTTTGCATGAATCTCAAATGAAATATGTATTTATTTGAACATGATAAATATTCTTGGATACTGTATTTTTGGGACCCTAGTTTACGAGTGAATTCTGTAAACATTTTGTTTTTTATGTAAAAGTATAGCAAATGACCGTGGTTTCATTTACTAGTTTAACCCCATACCAACGCGTATGGCATGTACGTACGTGCCATGCCCACTGTGAGTTTATTTTATTGATTGTTTTTACACATAGATGGCTACACTTGTACTAAGTCACCAATGAGCCAATTACAAGTACTCCCTGTATCACCCATTTACCCTTTTATTTATGAAAAAATAATTACATTGTCTTATTTTGTTATTACTAATGTTTATAACATTATAGTAATTATAATCTCTATGATAAAAACACCATCAATATTCATAGCATTGGTAAAAAATACGTTCTTCCTGCCAATTCAAGGAAAGGTGAAATAAGGTAAGGTCACAAGGTCTACTAATTGACTCCTTTGTGGCTAAACACTAGCAGAGCCATCTATGTGCATAGACATTAAAAAAAAAGAAGAGGGAGAATGACAGAGTGAGTGTGAGAGTGAGTGAGAGTGTGACATTTCCCAGCAGCATTGGGTTAAGAATAACATTCCTTATCATCAGAAAGTATTACCATAAAATGAATTAATGAGACAAAACATTTAATGAACTGTTTAAAGGTAACAAACGAAATGGAAACTGAAATTCTGCCATATACTTTCCTGTAAATAAGTAACTTTTGAGTGTGGATCAAAAGAAAAAAAAAAAAGTAACATCATTTTGTATCTAACTGCATTCTGGGTAACCCTTTCTCAAATCCCAAAAATTATATTCTACTATAAACAAAATATCACAGATTTAGCAATAATTGGAGGATTAAAATAAGACAACCTTTAATTATAAAGCTACAGATTATTATTTCCAATTCTTCCTCAGTTTAATTTATTTACATTTTCTGTCCTTTACAACATAATTGTGGTGCACAATGTACCTTCTATTGACTTGCTCTTGCTAACTTTTCTCGATCTTCTTCTGGAATATCTTGCACTTTTGTGTTACGGCCTCGATAAATGTAACCTTCTTGGTCAATGGCATTATTGTAATCCACTGGGTTTGCAAGTGCATGTTCAATGGCCTTCTCCAAATTTTCACGCTTAATAAATGTTTTCACCAGCTCCTACAAATATCAAAGAAAGAAAATAATATTTATATTATTATGTTACATATGCTCAGGTATATATATTAAATCATTATTACTACCTTCACTGTTGCAATGTATTTCTAACTTCTAATCCCCCTACATTTTAAACACTTTTCTGCCTTTGAAGGATATAAAGATATAAAAGCAAACTAAAACAAACACCAGTTGATGAGGAAACTAAACAATAAATGAATGGGCTTTTAAAGATCCTTCATAACGATACACGAGGGTTTTTACCTGAGTCTCCGTGATAATGCGTAAAGCTTCTTCTTGTTTTAGTGCTGCCTGCTCAGCAAGCTTCTGTTTGGACGCAGCAACACGGGCCAGGTCATCCTCCAGCTCTTTTTTTATCCTGTTGAATAATAAATTAAGGAAGGTTGTAAAACTTTTCATATTTTAAAGATAACATACCCAAAAATACGGCTAAATTCTGAAAACCTCTTCCAAATAGTATGCCAATGGATACTAATGACGTTTCTTAACCCATTCCCGCCGGGCATGCCATGCCATGGCCACTCTGAGATTACTTGTTAGATTGTTTTCACACATAGATGGCTACACTTGTACTAAATCACCAATGAGCCAGTTACAAGTACCGTCTGTCTCGCCTGTTCACCCTTTTCTTTGATTTACGAAATATTTTACGTTATCTTATTTTCCTGTTACTAATGTTAAAAAACATTATAAAAATTATAATGTTTATAATAAAAATAACACCATCGATATTCATGGCACTAGAGAAAAATACGTTTTTCCCGCCATTTCAAAGCAGGCGCTAACAGAGCCATCTATGGGCAGACATTTAACAAAAAAGTGTAGAAAATAGGCACAGCATTTTCCCCATTTTTTTTTCATTTTCCCCAGCGGCAATGGGTTAAACATTTAGAGTAAACAATTAAAAATTTACAGTTCATCAGTTAACAACAACACAAACTAAGCCCACTTCATACCTAATCTCTCTCAGAGCTGCAATCCTTTCATTTTCCATGCGGTTGTACTCCATGAGGCGCTGATGCTCAGCCTCCTCCTCTGCAACCTGTTGTAATGCAACCTCTGATGTTGCACTGGTCCTTAGGTACTCCTCTAGTAAATGATGCCTGGATATGAAATAATGTATTGAGAGTTAGATTCAAAGGACCTAGCAATGCTTTAATGTTTAAAAGAATGTAAAGCTCTTGGTGTTACTAACAGTGACAACTGTGGTATATGAAGAATAAATTAATAAGTAGTGGTTATGATGATGATTAATGATGATAACTGTAACTGTGATTATAAAGATAAAAATAATAACAAATCCAAATTAATGGTGATAAACTGCAAAGAAAGCGGACTCACCTCACAGCCCGCAAACTAGTACGATAATTGTTGTACAGCCGCTGTATCTCCCTTGTCTCTTCTACTGGGATGACTGGACGCTTTGGGATCGTAAAGAGACGACTTTTTGCTGTTGGCAACCATCGTGGTTTTCTCCACCTGAAAGGCATGTAAATTACCTTTTGAAGTAATAAATGAGTGGATGAGTGTAACTTCCTTAATTACTGTGCAATTATTTATTATTTTTACAAGGTTACATTTAAATAACCACATTATTTCCTTGTGATATATATCTATGTCATAAACACAATAGCAAAATAACTCTCTCTCTCTCTCTCTCTCTCTCTCTCTCTCTCTCTCTCTCTCTCTCTCTCTCTCTCTCTCTCTCTCTCTCTCTCTCTCTCTGCTTCTCTAAGATACCTACTGCCTCTTTTTCTATTCATGATCAAGCAGATGATTAACAAATTGGTGGTAGAAAGTATAAGGATGTAGTTCTGGTACTGTCTAGCAAGTTTCTAGACAGCCTTGAATGAACACAGTAAGTATATAATCATCATAATATACCACATGTACGCCCCAAAACCCCTCCATCCCTTCATTCCTTTGGTCAAGCCTATGTACAGACATGCAGTACATATGAAATAAGAATCCTCATAATTTATGGCCTTATCTTTACTAAATAATTATAATAATATCAATGATAATGATAATAATGTGGCATGAACAACACTTTGAAACAACACCATACGCCTTGTACCTATCCAATAATCTTACATTTTATATTCATATGTAACAAGGATATGTTACCTTGGTGCAGTAGTTATTGGAGTAATAGTGAAATATATAGTTATAGTGAAAAATGAAATTTGTTGCCTTTATGCGGCTTGGCCCAATGGATAGGTTGCCAGAACATGGTCTTTAGGGTTAATTCTGTTAAGTGTCAATTTCTGGACTTACATTTCCATAGAAAAAAAATGTTTAAACATGTGGTATTCAAAATTACAAAAAATAATATTCCTAAAATACCTGCACTCAGATAAGTAAGGAGATCTAAACTGGATGATCCACTTGACAGTCCATCTTACCAGTTTACACTTTTTTTCTCTCCCTCTCTCAGTTTTCTCATACAGATGATAGGGTTAAATGCAATCAGTCAAATTAAAATGAACAAGAACATTATAACTATCATAAAGTTCATAAATATACACATATATTTAGCCCTCCAATTTTTAATACTGACATCAATGCATAAGGTTTTGGGTATGTTTAGGCCTACCCATACAATAACTGGTCATTGGTACATTCAACAAACTAAATGTTAGTAAACTAATTTGTTACAAGATACTAAACTATATACGATGATCTAAGGAAAATTCTATCTTTCTATCAGTCTATTTTCCACTCATAATTGTAAGTGGAAAATGGTTACATTGTTCACTGACCTCTTACGATTCTGGAACAACTCAAAAATCTTAAATAGGGATTTCAAACCATGTTACTTCCATGCAATTTCACTATTCCCCTCAAGCTTCAATATCAATCATTTATTCAAGATATGGTTAATTTTCCAAAAATGACAACTAGGTCTTCCCTGACAATGTTTATATCATCAGATTTGTTCTCGTGTGATGAGAACGAATCTGATGATATTCTCCGTCGGATTCTCCAGCCGACAATCTTGATGTGTTTTCATAAGTCCCGATAGCAGGGGAGGGCATGAAGTAGATCAGGGAAATTACGGGGTAAAACAGGCTGAAATAAGCAAAATAGAGAGCAGAAATGTGTAAAACAAGCACAAAAAACGCTTAAAATCGGATAATGAAACTCTACGGACATCGCCGCCATCTTTCAAAGTCTACGGACCGACGCGCCAAATTTCGAAAAACTCTACGGGAACCAAACCCACCGTTCGGTAAAAATCTACGGGATTTCACATAATCCAGATCCCCTGTGATAATCGTACAATGCGTCCTAACCAACAAACCAACCTAACCTAACCTAACCTAACCTAACCTAGCCTAACCTAACCCTGTGGGATTTATACACTACGATCTATACATTCCCTAGCCAGGGGGCTCTGCCCCCTGGACCCCCATGGTATTAAATGCGCCTAGCCAGGGGGCTACGCCCCCTGGACCCCCGTAGTAATATACCACATACCTTTATAAAACGAAAAACCGAACTATTGTGCGCTTCCGTCCATGGTCAGAATTGCTTGGTTTCTAATCACTTTTTTTGGCATTTGGGGCACTTATTGGGCTCAAATATCAGGCTTGTGATTGAGAATAATGTCTATTTGTCCTGTATATCCACAATATAGTTTTAAAAATAACCCGATGTCGACACAGCACTTGAAATGAAACATTTTTCACCGGTGTTTCTGAGCGAATGGCGGTGGGTCGACCTGTCAAATCTCCCGGTGAAAACGCGCATGCGCAAAAGGTTATTGTATAGAATAACGTAAATAATTACCAAAAGACGCAAGAGAAGTATAATAAAACTAGAAGAATGCATTACTTACATGAATTCAGAGAATCAGACGCTAGTAATGACAAAATAAGCGTTCTCACAAGCGCGTAGCAATACATGGACTACTTGCTGGATC